TGGGGATCCAGCTTTCTTTTATCTACAGGAGCAGAGTCCTTAATCACTTCCACAGCATCCTCACCAAAACACTGGCCATAAAATCCCTGGAAAGGAAACAGAATCATCCCTGAGTGTTTTTAGGCCTTAATACAATGCTAATGATCTGTATGCCTCTAGAAGAAAGGAGTAACCATAACAATTTCTGGGCTCTGTACAGTCACTATACTGCCTCACAAACCACAGCTGGCCAGGGTAAGGCATCTCCTGACAAAGATCAGTGTGAGTTGTTCACAAAAAAGCAGAACTCAAGGTAAAGCAACCAGAAAGGAACATTGCAGTTCCATCAAAAAGCTGAAAAGATACCAAAGTAAGTATCTGGAATGGTCACATCAAATCATTCAATATATTACAGGCCTCCCCATAAGAGACATGGCCTCAAGAGAATGGATCAATTTCATCATTATGGTGTAAAAAAGGGCTATGATGGAAAAGATATATAAAAAGGAAGTAATCTACAGTATGAATTAGTTTGTTACTGATTTTTATATTGCAATAATACTGTTAGAACGGTGTAGGGTGATTAGAAAGTATAACAAACATTGGAGATCATAGTAACATAATGTTCTTTGCTTTACCTCTAATCTGTGAGAAATCTCGGGAAGTTTGGTAATTGTAGGCTCCTTATAAATAAATTCCTGTTCATCCAAGTCCCCAAATTTGGATCCATAGAAACCAACTCGGAAGTAAGTTCCAAACATTCGCTTTTGACCCTAATTCATAAAAAGAAAGAGGAAATATACCATTACTTATTTTTTATGCCAACATTGTAGTATTGGGATGACTTTTTTTCCCGCAATTGACATGTAATCAGTGCTGATGGATCAGAAGTGCATATTCATGAAGCATACAATTTAAGGGGTCACTTGACCGAAATCTAACTTAAAATTTAGGCTAATCACGAAGCGGTTTTCACAAAACAAAAAAAGTATTATTTTTCATTTCATTGGACACACGTTAACAAATGAAAATTTTGCAATGAAGATTGAGAAGAATTTGAAACTGACTAGACTCAGCAATAAGATTCTTCTGGACAAAGAGAAGGAAAGGGACAGTATGAGTGCTGAGAGTTTAGCCAGGCTTTTGTATTTCTTCTGGTTTATAACTGAAACTGACTAGTTAATTGACAATAAAATTATTTTTCTTAAATAGATGTGGCCAGGTGGAATCATGCATGTTCTTATTCTGTTTGACCTGTTCAGCTATTTCTCTGTATCTCTAAACCAGTTTTATATTCCTCTTGACTTTTTCCTACTGAATATAGAGCCTCTTTTCAGTGTAGACTACCCTTTATAGGTAGGTCAAAGCAGATGGAAGCTTTTGTTTGAAAAAGGAAATGGATCTATTTCACATGAACAGTTTTATTATCACCAGGCTTAAACAAACAGTGCACCCCAGCAACGTGTCCTTCTAGCAGTGCCTTGCCTCACAAGTACCTTATTAATAATACTGTCAAAGGCCTTCTGTAGCTTGCTGTGTGTCAGGGTAAGCTTCCTGAAGTCTCGATGGGCTTCCAGTATGGGGATGACAATTTTGTACACCTCGTTCACAGTTTCATACAATCCTCCCTTGGGAGATTAAAAAAAAAAAAAAAAAATAAAAAAAATAGAAGAAAAGAAATGAGTCCTTATGCACTCTGCAAAGAATCAAGATCTCCATTAATGTCCTGGCTGAAAATGTTTCTTGTTTTAGCTAAATCATGTATCCTCTTGGCACTATAGCAATATAATGAGCTAGCTATTTGAGTATTAACATCATGACTCTTCACATGGTAAGTGTAGATTGGAGGTTGGTGGTTGTATGCTGTGTAAAAGCACAGGAGTAACTCTCACGCACTTTCTAAAATCTATAGTTTAAGCAAGATCTTTTTCATAAATGTACTATTCCATGAAAACACCAACCAAAAGGCTTGGTTCTTGCCTGGGACAATCACTTTCTGCCAATGCTGCCTGTAGTCTGCACAGCAGAGGTGGATATATGGCTGAGCTAGGCTAGCTGAAAAGCCTAGCTTAGCCAACCTCACTGAGGCAGGGCTGGGTCAGCCGTAAGATGTGCCTCTGTCTCTTGCTGTCCACAGTGGGGCAGATCTGTGGATCCTGGTTTAGCAGTAAGATTTTGTTTCCTCACGTGCAGGAAAGTAAGTTATGGATCTGGCCCAGGTAGACCCACTCCACCTCCCAGTGATTTTGGCCCTCACTCACCGTGCTGAAGAGCTCTGCTGCTTGTTCAAGCAGCCCTACCAGGCCACTTTCTGAGAAATACCTCCCAGAACATATACCATCTTCATCTGGAGACAAAACATCATCTGAAACAGCAGATTCCTCCAGCACATTGAATGAAATGTTCTAAAATATATCAAGCAGAGAAATCAGAAACCTGGATCAATAGTCTATCATAAAGACTGAGGCAGAAACAGTTTCAACATATTTAGGAAGAAGAATGAGATTATACAGGTGCAGCCAGGGGATACACAGTTAAATTCCATTTAGAAGAGAAGGTAACATCATAAATCTCCACAGATGGCAGACCAGGAGTTTTGCTACAAGAATCCTCATCTTTCTTTCTCGCCTCAGGTGTAAAAGGTGGACTCCTGTAGGTTACAAACTGGCTTCTCTCTGGTGGCTGAGTTTCCATGAAGCTGCAATGAACTTGACCTCCCATGCCGCAGGGTTCACAATCAACATGTCCTCCCCACTGCTGGTGCTGTGAGTGGGAAATTCCAAGCTGCATCCCAGATCTCCTGCTACCTGCTCAAAGAAGCTGAACTTTCAAGTTGTTGGTTTGAATTTTGCAAGCAGAGAAGTAGGACATAGACAATATTGCTCTAAAAGTTGCGATAATTGATTGCTGCTTCTTGATTTAGCCTCTGCCATATTACACCTTGATCCTGCAGAATTTACTTTGTTCCTTGTTAAAGTAATTGCTTGTATCATGTGCTTAAATAAAACTAGAAGTACACAATGTCAGCCAGTCTTTGAGATTCTAGACTGTGAAATAACACGTCTACAGTTCTTTAGGATCCCTCCAAATACATGACACTGGGTAGAGCCAATGTTACACATTTTATAACTCACACAATTTTATAATACATATAATCCATGTAAATATGTGTACATACAATGTGGAGCTAGCGTATGTAACTTGCAACAGCAGCACAAATGCTAAGCTTCGATTTGCTAGTAATTAAAAGGAGTTAAATTAGTGTCATGGTGTCTCACTTCAGCAGAAACTGGCAATGACAATCTGTCTGCGTGCAGGATAGATGCCAGCTGGCTAACTAGCCGAGTCCTTAAAGACATCTTTATAAAATGGCAGAGACACTGAGGGTTGCTGCTATTGATCAGATCTCAGATAAAGAATTGGCACCAGATATCACGAGCAACATGGGATCCCTTGGGCTCTGTTGATGTATTTATTTCTCCATGGGTGAATTTACTCCAACCATGCCTGCCATCACAGTGCCTGGTTTGCACATCAGCACAAAGCTTAGGGCAGCATTCACAGAGTTAAGAATATGCCTGAATTTCAGCTGGAGGGAAAGCTGCAGCACGTTTTAGCATGCCTGTGCCACTTTTTACCTACCCGTCCCATGGAAGATAGTGACTTTAACCAGAGCTAGTCTCATAGGCACATACCTAGGGCAACTCATACAACACATGCTGCAGCTCAACTTCTGGTTTTCCCCTTCTGTAACAGTAGCCATTAAGGACTATTTTAACAGAATGGCATGTGGCGCTTGGTGGCTTTTTTTCTTTTGTAAAAAAGGGAGAGAAGTCCAGAGGAGTGATTTATTTCTGAAAGTCACAGACATCAATTATATCTTCTTTACCTTTAAACCTGTAATAACTGATGTCAGGCATGTATTTCCATGTCTTACAGTCCACACGCTCTAGTAGGAGAGAGCCTTCATGCAAGAGTTCCTGGTGCTTGCATTATCGTTTGCAAAGCGGATATGCCTCATCCACTTTCTGCCTTGATCTACCTTTTGTGGTGAAGAATTTTATACCTCCCTTATATAATAGGGGCAACACATAAGTTACCATGAATATCATTGGCAATTATTTTGGACCTCACAAGCCTAGTTTTCTCTAAGGAAAAGAAACACATGTGTAAACTCAAGGGGCTTTATTATGATCCCCAGACCTTATCACCATGTTAGATCGGGCCAGAATAGCCTGCAATCTAGATCCCCAAAACAGCACAGTCGAATTAGGCTACCGCTGAGCCCTGGCTAATTAGCCTTGTCCCTCAGCAAGTAGACACACACATTAAGTCCTTGTCTGTGGAAATCCAAAGTGGCTTTAAAGTCAGTCCATATGTAATTCATACTCTTAGTCCTCCTGATCACTTTCAAAGGGGATTTAGTGTAAACATGAATTAAGCTCAAAAGGAATTTCACTGAAAGTTATCCCATTCTGATTTTGAGGGATAGTTTTGTTTGCACAGAGGGAAGCATATATAGTTTCTTCTGGCACAGTATAAGGAAAATCAGTTTTCTGGACGCTAACAGTGTCACTGAGGAAGGCATAGGTCAACCAATTTAATCCTTTGCTGCCTCATTTTACTCATCTGTAAGAAGGAGGTAACACTTCTACTCATCCAGAATAATCTTTTTTTTTTGCACACATTATTATGACCCTCAGTTCCACAACTTAATGTGTATCAAAAATATTTGTTAATTAGGTAAAAGAAGAAATGGACACAGAAGGAGTCAGTGAATGAGATCTGGAAGCCCAGGCAAAGCCGAGACAGACTGAGCTAGTGCTTCTCTCTTAACAAGGTCATCTGAACAAAATCTTCACAGGTGCTACAAACACAAACCTGTTTGTAAAGAATGGGACCTCATTTCTTGAAAGGCTTTGTAAAATTGTGAAGGGTTACTCTAGTTCTTTATTGTTATTGAGCAAAGGAAATCCAAATTATGCTGTCAGATAATGAGTTGTGTAATTGGGTTTCTGGTCATTAAGGCATTTCATTACCCCTCTCCTATGGAGCAGCTGTTTCTTTGGCAAACATATTCACACAAGCCTTTTGATGGGAGAGATTAATTTCTCGCTTTTAAGCTTCTAAGTTTTTGTTGCCTAGTGCCTTACAGAATAGACTTCAGTTCGCTGAATAACTGGAAACATACCCATTCAAGGCAATCAGCAATACTGAGTAGCCATATATTTTAGAAAACTGGGGAAGTTTCAGAGGAGGAAATATGCTTTGGGGACCACATTTTTTAAAAGTAAAGCTGCACATCTAGTGGTAGGTTTATCATTCTGCATTCAGGACAAAGTCATGGAAATATTGATACAGAATTATACAAAAGAAAAAAATTAAAGCTATTGTAATAAATCTGAATCAACATGGAGTATAGAAACCTGATACTTTCAAAGAGATTACAATCTCATAAATGCACTAATTCCCAAACAGTAGACGTCTGTGCAACATCTGAGGTGATTCTGCAAAACATTTCCACTAATTAGTTAGAATGATTCATAATCATTGCAGCAAATACTCTACAAAGGAACAATGGTCCTCACTGGTCTTAGAGAATAATGATAAAGGAGGAATCATAAACACATGGGAATTTTTTAAGGGTTCAGCCATTTCTATTTTTAATAATGCTTGAAAAAAGCAGTAAAATCACAAAATTAGGGCATGAAGTCAGTTCAAGTAAGGGCAATCGAAACTGCATAATCTGATAAACTATACATAAATATCTGCATTTCAAAATGTCAACTCTAACAACAAAGAGTTATGCTTTCATCTATGTGATGTAGGAAAGAAGGGTGAAAAGCAAAACCCAAGAAAACTCCTTGGAAAAGATCAATGTATTACTGAGTAAAGAGCTCAACAATGCCTAAAGAACCAGTGGAGTTTTTGGAGAGATAAATGGAGTGAGACTTCTCAGGCTTAAAGAACTTACGGGACACCTTTATTTGACTTTGATGTGACTGTGTATAGACTATGTTGATAGTGTCATTCGCCAATCAAAAGACTGTTGGTTCATAACTGGAGGACAATAAAAGGTTTGGAGAACATGCCTGAAAGAACTGAGTAGCTCCAATTACCTAGATTATAAGAAAGAAGTTTGAAAGATGCATCTGTCACAGCTGATAAGTAGCAGCCCTAGGAAAAGGCATGTGATAATAGAGGGGTTCTACTTAATGAACAAGAGATTACAGTAACCAGCTGGTGGAAAGAGAAGCTAAAGACAGCCAGGTACTAAACTACCAGTTTTCAACAGTAAGCACATATCATCAGAACAACCTACCAAAAGTGGTGATGGATACTCTGCAACTGTAACTTTTCCTTCCCATGCATGCACTTCTACTCTGCATAACATCAGAGGGAATACACGCACCATAACAGGTCATCCCAGACTTACACTTTCATAGCTTGGGAGCCTTTTCTTACCTGAAAACTGACGCTGCCCACTGGGAGATAGTTTCGATCTTCAAGCATGCTGAGGTACTCTGCCACCAGTGCTGCAGCATGGACCAGACACATAGCTGCTTCTGTGTAGCACTTCCTCTTGGTGTGCTTCTCTGCCATGTTCTGCAGCCAAGTCAGCCTCAAGTCGGGCGATGTCTGGTATCCTTTGGCAATTCTAACAACACAGGGCAGAAAGGTGGTGTGAACAAGCACTTCTTAAATAATGGGAAGAACCTTTATAATTCTCCACCTGGGTTGAATTGAAGGAGACACCTCTGTCTTTACTCTGTATAATTCACTAAAAGCACAGTGCAAAAGAAATGGGTAGGCAGGACACACAGGGGCTATGAGAGTAAAACCACTGAACCCAAGACTCTTCAATATTCATCAGTCCCTGACTCCCATCCTTGCCCAAGCCACCACCCAGTGGCTCCACAGCAACACTCGTAGTCCCGTAGCCTGCATCCCTGGTTACAGATCAGCTATGCTAAAGCAGGAACATACACAAACAGCTAGAGGGTTTGCCTACAGCTTGTCCCTAAAATGCACAGTTGTGCTCACCTCACTGCAGAATTTTCTCAGTAGCAATTCTAAGTGGATTCACCTGTACATGAGATCCATGAGCATCTCCGGGTCTTCCTGAAATTCCCTCATTTTCACTGTATCTGACAGAATGCTGTTCAGATTACACAGCAGCTCCTCTACCTGCAGTAATACAAAGGTCAACATGCATTTCTCACGTGTTTATTTTTCTCTTCTAGAAAAATAACAGCAGCTGCACCAGGTGATGTTACTCTCTTTTAGTCCCTCTTACCCAAGAAAATGTTAGAATACTGAATTGCTACAAGACTTGTTTTCCCAACAGTATTGAGTGCAGCGAATACCGCTGACATAGCAAATCTTATACACCCAATTAATCATAATGAGCTGGAATCCTTTTATTTCTGCATAAAAAATAAAATAAAACTAGGTGCTAATGTTCAGCCTTAGTTCATCTGTGATTTGATAACAAAGCAGATTTTTATGTCTTCAGCAAAAGCTGAGTTACTGTAAGAATTTTAGCAAAGCATCTGTTGTCTGAAATGGTTTTCATTATTGCTGCTGCTGCCTTATTAATTGAAAAAGGGAGAGAAGTTTCCAAGATGATACTTGTCTGGAAAGATAATGAATCAAATTCCATCTTGGGAAACTCTTACAGGGTACAGTTCTTGCTGAGGTCTAGAAGAAAACTCTACACAAAGCTAAGAGATTATTCTCCCGTAATGTGATTTCAGTGGAAAGATTTTATTCTATGGTATTATGTCATAGAATCATGGAATGGTTTGGGTTGGAAGGGACCTTAAAGATCATTTAGTTCCAACCCCCCTGCCATGGGCAGGGATACCTTTCACTAGACCAGGTTGCTCAAAGCCTCATCCAGCCTGGCCTTGAATTCCACTCCTTCCCCACTTCATGTTGTCTTAGAAGTAAACTCATGCAATAACCCATGCATCCTTATTTTCATTGCTTTGGAAGACCAAGAACTTGGACTTGCACTAAGCGCATTCCTATGTGAAAGCTCCTGATAAAAGACAAAGATATTTTACCTGAATGGGAAATGGAGTTGCCTGCATATCTGCATCTTCCTCTGCATAAGCTAGGATGGTTCGTAAGGATCGTCGAAGGAATTCCTCATTAAACTCAGGTGATTTGCCAACCAGAGAGGCTAGAGACATGGTCACCTGCATCTTCACTCTTGCAAAATTCTTTCAGAAGAAAAAACAAAAACATGAGAGAATGATGGGTGCAGTGTGTCAGGCATGTCAGTTCACATAGCCCTGCCTATTGTATAAACCAAACCCATTTTGTCCCCCCATATTAAGTGCATTAAACTCACTGCTTATGTGAGTGGCCTCTGGTGCATCAAAGCCAATCCTGTTTTACCTGGTTAAGCCAAAGTTCCCTGATTCTGACATCTGTACTTTGGGGCAAGAATGTACCTTTGAATACCTATGCTTGTTTGAGACAAGGGGATGTCAGAAGCACCATTTTCCCCTTCCGCACAGTCCAGTGCAGATCAGGCCTGTAGATCAGGCCACCCACAGAGATGAAGATGAGGAAACGAGACTGGGAAAACATTCTGGAAACAAGTCTGAGAAGCAAAAGGCCTCTGAGGGCTTCACTTGGTGACACATTACACCTTGCTGGTCATGGTATCTCAGAGGCACATTTTCCTCCTGCAAAGACAACACTTTTTACATATTCAAGGCTAAAGTAACAGCTAGGGAAAAAATACCATGCAAAATCAGATGCTGTCCAAAATGCTAATGCATGTCCTTTTGTGCTAGGACACTGTGAACCTATATGTATGTAGGTTTGTTTCACATGTGTGGTAAGAATCAGAGCCTAGTTCTGAGACCAAGGGGTCAGTGAAGGATTCCCATTAATAAAAGCATACAGTAGTTCTACTGAGGCTGTAATTGCATCAGAATAGAACCAGTCCAAGTACTTGTGACACAGGAGTAAAAAAAAAAGTGACAAAATGAAGAATGTTGCTTATGCATTGTACAGTCCTTGCTATCAGAGGTCTAATATTGTTTCGTTTGAAGATACATTTACAGATGTTACAGAAAAAGTCACCTTTTCCTAAAGAAAATAATAAGCCATAACCAAAACTACTTTCCCCCTGTACCTTCTTATGGCTCAAATATGTGAAACAACATAACATACTACTATTGATCTGCAGATGCATTCCATTTGTTATCACAAACAGTGATTCAGTTGCAACTGATCATAAAAATAATGGTGTCACAAAATATATTGCTGTTCTTAAAATCTTACGCTGGTAGAGCTGAAGCTGTATCTCATGAGAAGGTAGAGAGTGGCACACGCTTGTGTCCGTGTAACATCTATGCTGCTGCTACAGTGATGGAGGACTCTTTGACACAAGTCAGCACACTGTTCGACTTCCTCTTCAAACAGGATATCGCCAAACTAAGGGAGATAGAGAAGAAAAACTTCATTACTCTTATTTCTGACTATTAAAACATCATTATCTTAGTGCACAAAAGTCACAGGATTCAGACAAAGATGAAAGTTTGCAAAAACTACATTTTATACTTTTAATTTGGACTTCCAATTCATGTGATGCTACAGGTTCCATTTTCAAGCTTTTCTACAGAGAAGGGTTTGAAAACAGTTTTTGTGTTTAGGAAAAGAGCGGCAGAAAGAGAGAATTAAAAAGTATCTCAGAGTACCATGGCTCCAGGAGTTTTTGAAAACATTAAATATTGCAAAATTCTTAGGAATGCATGGAGGGTTGCTATTTTCAGAATATATGATTGTTGATGAAACTTGCAAATACTTCCTAAAGTATAAGGAGCAATTACTAGCTTTTTGCGTGAATGCTCTACCCTTCCCAGGCCCTCCAGTGTGTTATCCTCCTACCATGTGCCACAAAACTTCCATTTCCCAGCTTTCATGCCAGACCCTGCTTTACAATGTCTCCACAATGACCTAGCAGGCAATAAACACAGGGGCAGGATGTCTATCCTAAGAAACTCTCACTGTAGTCAGCACAGATGCACCAGTACCATATGTGTTTATGCAGGACTGATAAAGGCCCATGAGCAGAACACAGGATATTAATTCTCATTTGTAGGAGAGAATTATAGGGGGGTTGGAACTAGATGATCTTTAAAGGTCCCTTCCAACCCTAACCATTCTATGATTCTATGACCCTTTTCCAGCTCTCAACCTTTCTTCACTCCATTATCTCACTGGTTTATGTCTAATTTACATTACAAGCCTGCTGGCACAGGGTTCTACCATTTTTATTTGTAAAATAACATCTATATACCTACATTGTAATAGAAATAATTGGAGTGATTGCTGCATAAATACAGAACTGACTCAGCTTAACTAGAAGATCTATTTCAATGGGAATAAGGATTGCTTCACAAAATTCATTTTTGTAATTGGAAGTTAGCTTTCAAAGATAAAGTACAATGAAAACATAATTACGTGTTTCATAACTACTCAGATATCTACCCTGTAATTAGGCTTTGTCAGCCAATATGAGTTTAATAGCAGACAGGAATTAATTGGACAGGAGTATCCTGTTTGTTACTTGCATTTTAGAATAGTTTAAGGGAAAAACACAGTTCATGGTTTTTTCCTTTGTGGAACAGCTTTTCTTTGTAGGAGAATAAATCTTAAAAAGATTTTAGAGTCCTCATGAAGCACCTAACCCATTATGACCCATATTATAAAAATGTTGGGTCAAATTCTGTCCTTGTATGTATTTTGGAAAAAAAAAAAAAAAAAGTTGTGGGGTTTTTTTAATTTATTTGGAGATACAGAAAAGAGAGATTAGGGTTTGTCTCAGTCTTCAGGCAGAATGAAGATGAAATCTGTCAACATCTTAGAATCTACCTAGAATTCTGGAACTTATCTTTGACACAGAAACCTAGAATGATCCCACCGATCTCTGATGAGTTAACTTTGATTTCTTCACTACCCAACTAGTTGGAAAGTAGTCCTGATGATACAATAATTTAAATTTGACTTTATGGAATCTGTACATTCCCTGGTCTTCAGATTCCTAATTAAAATCAGAATGTATCTGAAATATAATGGGTGGATTTTGTTCACTTTTTATTCAAGTAAACTGCTAAAACCACAAGATTATTCAGATCCAGTTATTCCATCTTGTGTGGTCAATGAAATAACTTTATAACAGCTGTAGAAGACGCTTAATATCCCTATAGATGGGCATTTGTATTTACGTATTCAAAACATATTTAATGAATGCCAAAGGAAAAGTGGGAAGTGAATGCACACAGCTCTGCTCTAGAAATGCTGCCCTAATAACTTGATTGGAAGCATGGAAACAGGAACATGGCAAGAGCATACCTTAGCAATGAGCGCTCTGAGTGTAGCAAAGCAATGAGTCAGGTAAGTGGTACTCTGATCACAGCCAAGAGAGTTTACCAGGACTTTCAAAACTCCTCCCAGAAGGTTGTCTCTGCATTCTGCTGCAAAGCTTGCCTAAACATGGAGGAGAAAGTCAACAATAACTGCATGAGGTAATTCAGCAATTAACTGATCCATAGGAATTGAAGTTCTGGTCTCCTGTCCATAAGACACATCCAGAAGTTTAGGGATTGAAGTTTTTTCATTTGTTAACATCTTCTTCAGAGGAATTTCAAAACACTTCTGTAGTGATCAGGAAGACAGAGAGGAAAATGTCCCAAACACTTCTCAATATCCACAGACCCTCCAATGCATTTTAAGCTCAGCCAGCTTCTGCAGTGACTCGAAGTTCTGCCTAACTTCTGTCCAATCTTTCATGGATCAGGATCAAGAAGCGATCCTCTGGGAGGCAAGCACCATCCTTCCCCCTGTCTCCTTAGGCTCTGATTTCCAGGGCATATAGGCTAAATAGGCATACTGGTATGCTCTGATGAAACCCTCAGCCCAAACACTGGGGACACTAGGTGCTATGAATGGTCTCATGCAAAAATCATGCCCAGAAGCACAGGATTCTAGTAGTTAAATGCTTTCCTACTAACAGGTTTTTGAGAACGAAGTTTCCTCCTTGTGATCTATGAATATACATGTTGCTCCAACAGTAGCATTCCCATACCCATGAATTCAGAGTGTCTCTCCTAAATCAGGAGACGTTTAAGCAGAGTCAACTATCATGCTTGCACTGCTGTCAAAGAACCTGTGAAATTTTACTGTAACTGACCCCTAGAACTTAAATAAGTTATGCACATTACATTGCTCTAGGGGGACATATCTCTTTTCAGAAGACTCCAGGTAGGTGGAATACTTTCCTGCACTGAGCACTCTGTTGGAGTCAAGGTTAAATCCTTTTGTCTCACAGGACATGTAAGTATGATCAAAGGCCGGCCACCCATCAGTCCAGTTCCAAATTACTAGTATCTTCAGCTACTTGCTAGCATAAATGAAGATTTTTCTTCCCTCATCCTCTCCAAACTCCAAGATTATAGTAAGATAGTGTAAATGGCTTTCAACAACAACTATTGAAGACAAGCTGGTAGATTTCCCCTTCATTCACACTAGTGCAATGCCCTACAGTAGAAGGGGCTCGTGGCAACAGCACATGGCAGGCAGCAATTTCATCTTTGGATTCATTCTTCTTCATCCTTTTTTTTTCCTTCAAGATTATACAAATTCACAGAAGATCTTTAATTAAAACATTTTACACTGCCTAAGAAACAAAAGGAGAAATGAATCTTGCTTCCACTGGCTTCTGAGGGATCAGGGATTAGTACTGAGCCAGCTCTGTCATTTCCCACCTGGATGATGTTCTCTTGCATATCGAGAATGATCAGGTTAGCTTCAGTTGCCAGGTTTCCACTGATCAGAGCTTCTTGATCTAGCTCAGCTTTTGTCCTGCAAAAAGGAGTTCTAGTTAAAGCACACAAAGAGTACCCCAATACCATTCTGAATCATCCTGTAGGAGTGAACAATGAAAACAGTGTTCAGAGGTAATTTGTAAAGACTATGGAATCAAATTAGGAGAGCTGATATCACAGAACAGAAGCCCCAGAGGGCACACCAGGAAACTAGGCCTCTTGATAGTTCAAACAGATGCTTCTGCTTCCTTAATAGCAAACTGTATAATGGCTACTCTGCCCTCAATATCATGGTTAATGGTTCAATAAGCTATTCAGTAACTTCTGAATGCACTACCTATAGCAGGAAAACCCAAAATGGAATAAAAGGCAACTTATCTAACACTTTCAGGAAGAAAAACAAAACCAAAACCAAACAAAAAACAAACAAACAAACAAAAAGCAAGCCTGGGCAAAGGGAAAAATGCTTCAATGCCACAGTAGCAGTGTTTAATGTAGGCAATTTAAAATGTTGGTTCTTGAGACGGTTGACAACATAAGACAGCAGGTCCAACATCTGCGGGGTCAATACAGCAGTGCCCCAGGCCATTTAAGACAGGAATGAAACGTTTACAAAAGACAGAAGGTGCTGGTAAGGCAATGCATGATACCCTCTTAGCTGAAACTTAAGGATGAGGGCTGGAACACAGCTCCCCTGCAGCTGAATGCTCTAAGCATAGGTGCAACTCCCAATAAAAATGTGTGTTCAGAGAACAACTCTATGCCAGAAACACAAAAAGGAGGCTTTGTTCTTCTTCCTAAACTGTTCAGAAAAGGGCTGTTGCAAGTCCAGAAGCTGCTCTCTAGATCTTGAGATTAGAGATGCTCCGTCTTGGGCCAAAGTTCGTAAGGTGCATTTCTGTGGCTGCAGCAACACAATCACACTTCTGAGTGACTTCAAAATCTGTGGCTTTTCTGCTATATTCATTTACCTTTTCTGTCCAGCAGAGTCTTACCCAGAAAGAAAACCATAAAAGTAAGCAGCCATCCTTTTGGGCACAACCAGGTAATTGAGGGGAGGGCTAGGAAATTAAGTCAGCGCAGTCATGTGGTTATTAATTACAGTGACTTAAAGCAAGGAAGAACAGAAAGGTCTGCCAAAAGTCTGGTACTATAATCAAGTCAGGGATTGTTAAATATGAGTAAGAACTGGACAAATTAAGCAAACGGCATATTCCAGCAACCACTCAGCCTTGCACTTCAACCACATTTACTGGGTCCTCTCTGACACCACGCTTAGCTTGTAACAGCCACTACAATCCCAAAGCATGCTGGACGCAATGAGAAGCAGGCTGAGTGAGGCTGAGTGGTGGCCTGTGCAAACCTGCTGTGCCACGTACTACCTGCAAACACCTTATTTATGAGCCATATACAGTAAAGAGATCCACAGAGGATGAAAGCAAAGATCTCACATACCGCAGTGATGAATGCTGCGTAAAACAGAAAGGCACGGAGAGCACACAGAGTTTTACTTATGTAACCTTAAGATTTATTTGCAGCAGTTGAACTGAGCTACTGTAAAGAGATATTGTAGACCTGCTGCTTGAGACTGTTTCATTCTGACTTCACTGAAACTGACTGGGAGAAAGTAAGCTACTTTCAGGGCAAAATAAGGGTATTCACACAGGATCTGCACCTCTTTGAATACAGCACAGAAGGTGGAAGAATTATTTTTTTTAAATTTGGATAAACTTCAGATTAACAACACTGTGTTCCAAAATGTATGTGTGTTGTGGTTTAATCCCAGCCAGGAGCCAAGTACCACACAGATCCTCACTCATCTCCCCTGCTCCTCCAGTGGAGAAGAACTGGAGGAAAAGACAAGGAAATGCATGGGTTGACATAAGAACAATTTAATAATTGAATATAAATGAATAAAATAGCCATACTAATAGTCGTAACAATAGTAATAATGCTAATATTGCTACTAATACTGTGTATTGAAAATAATATTGCCACTACTACTAATAATATATAACAAAAAAAGTAGAAAATAAAGCAAATTATACACTTGCTCACCACCCGACTCCACTTGGCAGACAGGTCTTGAGTAGTGAAAGCCAGAATCAGAGACCCCAAGCCAGAGAAAGATCATACCAG